TCAGTTGTCAATTGTCCCATCTGGTTTAGCGGGGGTCCAATGTTGCCCTTGCTTTTCCTCCAACTCCCCACATATCTAAAAAAGGACTTTTTATTGTCCTTGGTATTTGTAGCTAGCTGGAGTTCCATCACAGCCTTGGCTTTCCTGGTTCACTCCCTGCAGGTCTGGACCAGTGCACAGTATTTCTCCTTGGTGGTGGATCCAGTTGTCCATCCTTTGTAGGTTTTTTAAGGTCCATTGATCAGTGAGGAGTTCGCTTCTGATAAATCAGGCAGGGTTGTGGGGTTGTTTAAAACCCAAGAGCTGAGGGGTTGGGATTATTTTTCTTAAGGTCTGATCTTTGTTAAGTATAGGATGTAGTTGTTTGATGATTCTTCTAATTAGTTCCAATGGGAGACCACCAGATGTGTGCAGTCACTGGGGAGTTTCTTGTTTTTTGTACTGTAGCATGTTACTGTGGAGTATTGTGTAGCTTTTTCAAATATACCTTCTATTTGTCTACTGATGTATCCTTGATGTATGAAGGCAGATTTTAGGCTAGCCAGGGGGACATTGTGATTGCTCGCTTCATCGTGGATCATTTTTTGTTGTTCTGATTAGTACCCCAAATGCCCTTCCCCAAAGCTTCTGGAAGGCAGTACCCCCTTAAACAGGTCCCACCTTTCCAATCCTACTCTCTGGGTGAGTCTACATGAGACATTTACTGTGCAGTAGACTAATTAGCTGCACAGTAAATGCGTCAGCATTTACATGTGTGTCCCTTTTAGGCTGGAGTAAACTAATTTACTTCACAGCAGGATAGTACTTGTAAAAAACTCTGCAGAAGCACATGTGTAGACATTGGAGGGGCTGACATGTTCATTTTCAGTTCATTTTCATAAATGATTGCAAAACTGATATGAAAATGGACTATAAATATACATCAGCGTGGGTGCTGCCTGCTAGCTAGCCCTGCACTGGAGCACCCTCATGCCCCAGTCAGCCTCTTGGCAGCACATTGAGCCATGGGGGAGCAGCTCCAGGCTGGCAGGCTGACTCCTGGGTGCCCGCTAGAGCTGGGGCTGCCTCACCCTGGCTCAATGGGCTGCAATCCTGGGTGCACATGCAGATGCGTGCCCGGCAGCAATAAGCTCTGGAGTGATAAGCTTATTGCTGCACATCAGCAGGCACATGTAGATGCTCCTTCTATGTGCCAAACCCAGAAATGAAACAATGAAGCCATACTGAGAACTCCTCATTGTTGGATTTGGAATGTTTGGAGCATGTGGATACTGGTTGCTTAATACTAAGTATGGTAATGTGCCCTATGTGTTCTGCAAAAGCAGTACACGTCTCTCTATGGTGGATTTCAAAGCTATATGGAACTCTGTTTTTGTCAAACTGGTAGTTAAACAAAATGTAAAATGTGATACTAATGAGAATTTTAGACTGTTACTTCTAAATTAAAGATAACTCTGCTATCGTTATAACCATGACCTCTGACACTGTAAGTTAGTTTACCCTTGATCTCTGCTTCCTATGGAATTTATTTTGATGTGTAACAATACTTATCAATCAAACTGCTTTCATTGAAGCTTACAGCATGATATTAAATAGTTTTTCAGAGCATGGAGAGAGAAAAATTGCCACAAGAAATTTGGATTGTCCTGAACTTGAGGTGTATCTACCACTGGTACTCTGAGCTTAGTCTGCTAAGGAGAGTCTGCCATATTTGCTTTGACCCAGTGACTTGAAATTTGTGGTTATAAGTAATGTGGCAATCTATTAGAAACGAACACTCTGTGCATGTGAAAGTGGCGGAGGGGAGATCTACAGAAACTGGAAAAAGGTGGGGATTGCAAAGAAAGAATAATAGTACAAAAGTTATATTGGAAACATCAGTGATTTTCCTGAACAGCATTTATTGTTTCTCTAATAACTGATTTTATCTTTTGATTTTTACTTCTGCTTAATACATTAAATCCTCTGTGCATAGATTTCATAGACACTAGGGCTGGACAGTAAAGAAGTTTTTCCTTATGTCCAGTCTAAAACAGTCTTCTAGCAGTGTGTTTTATCTGGAAAAAAATAGTAGTTCCACCTAAAGGAATCCTAGAAAAAATAGAAACTTGCTGTAGTACTAGGGAAGAGTGTAAGTGTTGTTCTGGAGGTTTGTATTCTTCACTATCTTTGCTCTGAGCTGCACTTGTACTCTAGTTGTAGCAGGCTCACCTTTCAGAGTTTGGGTTGAGTCCCAGGCGTGAGATCCTGCTGTTTGGATTGGTGGAGCCTATCCACCAATCAAGAGGCAGCAAGAGAAATAAAGTTACACCCCTTTCCTGAGGGGAGGAGGAGAAGAGCTCTGCTGGACCTGATTGAAGACTGTAAATTGTCAGGTCTAGAAGACTTCAGGGGTGAAGCCCTGGAGCATATAAAAGGAGCTGTGTGCCCAGCATGAGGGGCAAATGTGGTACGGAGCCAAAAAAAGCTGGGGAGCTCTCCCCCAACAGGCAATTGGCCCAAGGCTCCTGAAGCTGCCACTGGAGGAGCAGCCTTGGGAGCAGCATGAGACTGCTCGGGCTGTTGATGGCACACAGGGATGGTGCACACAGACCCGGCCCTGGGAGCAGTGTGAGACTCCTTGTGCCCATCATGGTGCGCAGTTTGGTGCGCAGAGCCCAGGCTTTGGGAGCCGTAAGCAGCGGCTGGAGCCTGCAACACCAGCAGGGCCAGTGGGCCACACAGTGCACAGGGCAGCGCGTGGGGCAAGGGCCTTGGGGCTGCAGTGAGGCAGCTCATGCCCCATCTCCCAGCAAGCAGCCAGGTCCCACGGTGCGCAGGGTGGTGCATGGGCCCGAGCCTTGGGAGCTAGAGAGCAGCAGAGGCTGCTTGGGTTAGCCATCAGACATGAAGATGGACAGCTAGAGCCTGACGGGCCCAGCCTGTGCTAAAAGAGCCCTCAGTGCTGAGGCAGGTCACGGGGAAATAGTAGTGCTGCCTACCTCCCAGTACAGTTGTAGTTAAACCCAGGCAGGGTTCTCTCAGACATGTCCTGAAGAGCAGCCTTGGGACTGCTGCGAGACCACTTGGGCTCTTGACGGCACACAGTAGGGAAGGACCACCCCCACCCCATGCAATTTGGAGCCCTAGGCATGTGCCTAGTTTGCCTATGCATTAATCAGGCCCTACCCAATACACTCCCAAGAATTTGTTGGACTTTCTGTGCACTGTAGCATTTCCCTCCCTACAAATGTCATGGTAATTAAAGTCCCCCGTGAGAACCAGGTTCTGCAATTTGGAAGCTTCTGTTGCTTGTTTAAAGAAGGCCTCATCCATTCTTCCTCCTGGATTGCTGGCCAGCAGCAGGCACCCACCATGACATCCCCCTGCTGCTCTCTCTTCTGACCTTTCAATAGGCTTTCAGAGGCTTTCAATAGGCCTACCTCCCAGTTCTGTTTCAGTACAGTTGCAGTTAAACCCAGGCAGGGTTCTCTCAGACATGACCTGCACATTGTATTCCCAGTTGCTGAGCAATCGGTGTAGTAGGAAATTAGAAAACGGAGAGTCTGGGAGGTCTGAGTTCTCTGTCATAAGGTCCCAGCCTTCTGGCTCCTCAGAGGCCTCAGTTCTCAAGGCCTGCAGGCTCAAAGGCTCTGGGAGAGACCGCCAGCCCAACTGCTCTAGATCTGTGTTCCATTCTTTTAAATAGAAAGTCACGTTTCAAACTATCAACATTTCTGCAAAACAGAATGATGTTTGTCTACCCCCCTCTAAACAGGAGCTTCGGGTACTCTGAAAAAAATCAGACCCGAAGCTTTTATTGATGACACTCCTTCAAAAACGTTATCAGTATTTGGACCAAGTCTCTAACTCAGTGAAATAAAATATAGACATCCCTGGTATCAGTACAATGGTATAACTGTAGAAATGGTACTTTTACAAAGATGTACTGCACGCAATGAATAAATGTAAAAATATATTTTATTCAATTGTTTCTGTTCTTAAATTAACAAATTAACAAAATAACGATTTTGAACTTCCATCAAAGTCTTAAATAATATATCAGTGCAAAGTTTTGCATATTCACCTGAGATAACATACTGCTACACCACTGAGACAGAGTTGTCTCCAGGGGTGGCTGTGAAGTAGCCTTATCCTTAATGACTTCCAAATGTAATAATTAGCATTAGTCAGTCCTCAAGGCCCCAGTTCAGAAAAGCATTTCACTATATGCTTAACACTAAGCCTGTTCATAAACCACATTGACTTTAGTATGTAGTTAAAGCTAACCAGATTAAAAAGTGCATTCTTGAATAGAAGTGCTTTTCTGAATTGGGCTCCTTTGTCTATACCAAATAAATAAATGATTAGCCAAAATCTTAAATATAGCTGCCAAAATAGCACCGGGCAGCTATTTAGAAAGTAGTGGCCCACATAGTATGTTTACATGCAGTTCACAGGGGATATCAGGTAAATATTGCATAGCTCTGTATTATCCAGTGAATAAACTTACAAAAGATAATCATAAATCTAATACCTAATATTGGGTGCCTATACATGTGCTTGGGAGTAGACAGAGGGCAATTTAATTAAAGCAGTTCCTGGAGAGCTGCTCTAATTAAAATGTCACAACATCACATGTATTAATCCCCCCTCATGTTTACAGATGGCCACAGGATGCTTTAACTAAAGCTTATTCAATGAATCTTAGTTAAAACACCCCAGTGGCTATTTTTAAACCCACAAGGGCTTATAGATGTGACGCTGCGACAATGCTAGAGCATTCTAATTCAAACGCACAACAGACTTGATTAAGCTAATCTCCAATTAGATCATGCAGAGCATGTGTATAGCACCCAATGATTTCTTACATAGTAGTAAAAATTATAAATATGTTGGTGTTTCTTGGATTTCATTATAAATAATGGTTGATAGCAATAGTTAAATATTAATAAATAGATTTATATAACAACTGAATAATAATAATAATAATAGACAAAACCTAGTCATTAACATTTACATCCTCTTGAATTTTGCCTCCTTCTTCTTTCTGAACGAACAGTTGGGGAGTCCAGTTTTTGTAAGAGGGGGAAAAGTTCATTAATAGCCTTGCGCTGGATTTTCAAATCACTCATCTGTGATAATGAAAAAAAAAAAAAAACAGGTCAGGAAAAACAATACTGTAAACTAATTTTCAGGCTCCATGGTCTATGGTGTTGTAAGGTCATTCCATTGTAAAGCAAAGTAAAACTTCATGAAGAAAAGTAGTCTACTACTCTGTGACTCTCTTCCCATAAAGAGAAGCAATCTTTCCATGAATTTTGTTTGTCGGTTTCCAAGTTATTTTATGACATGCTACAAATCAACGGTATTCCATGCAATAGAGCTGCTGTGTAACATATGCTATATTTGTGATAATTTCTCAGTTATACAATACTGAAAGAGAATAAACTGATGCAACTGATGATAATTAAGTTCATCTGGTCTTAACTGTACATCTGTGGTGTCATTTCAGAGGTTGTTTCTTAAGCCTTCCTGAGATTTGACCATAAACTACTTACAATTTCCTCAGCCCAGCTGAGGACACAAATAACTGACAAATAGTGTGAACTAAGGTTAAAACTACTAATCTGAATGGCTTTTTATTTTCATTAATTCATTTTTAGATCGTTAAAATGCATCAGTTGGGCTATTTTATGAGCACATCCTTAAATATTTTAAAAACACAAACACAAAAATGTAATTAAAAATCTACCCTGAAACATATCCTTAATTGACCTTCTCCTCTGTCATCCCACTCAAGCAAGAACCTTAGCCTGTAGGCTTGGAGTAATCTCTGGTGTTTTTGTTGCATAAAAAAAGGAATGAATGCCAGAGGGAGAGCACCTTCTAGTGAAACATTTTGCCCTTAATAAAGAAAAGGGGTGGATTTAATGGGAGAAAACGTCCTATGCTTACCGGAAGTTTTGCCAACTCCATTATGTCATTTATCTTTTTGTAATCATTAGCAAGATTGCTTTTCTTGGCAAGCAGGTACTCATGTACATTTCTGATGTGGGCTTTACTTGTGTCGATGTTCTCAAACATTTTCAGATACAAGGAAATAATGTGGCTAAATAAGATTCTTCTTTCATTTACCTGTTAGGAAAAGAAAAAGGAAATGGGTTCATGAACTTCCATCAAAAGAGAACTGCTGAAAACCAAAATGCAGGCCACCAGCTTTGGGAGACAGATCGCTCTAGGTATTCGTATGCTCTCCTTCTAAACCATCCACTAGCACTGCTTTTGGAGAAAGATCCAGTTGTTATGTAGGCATGGTGGGATTAGGCCGGCCAGGAAACTACAAACCTTTCTCAATTTTTAGAGGGAGGCCAATGGACTAGATGGACCATTGGTTTAATCTAATATGGCTGTTTTTATGTTCTTATGTCAAAGAACACTCAGTGCAACCCAGCACAAGATAATATACAGGATGGCTTCCGCTTTCATTCCGAGTTGGCTGTGTTTTGAGCTGAGTTCATGATGTAAGCAAAAGTATCCTGAGAGCTGCCATAACTTGTATCAGCTGGCCATAACACTGGTATAGCCATGCCCTCTGCAGTGACAGAAAGGTTGACGGACCAGTGGATCCCTGTGTCAGCTCTAAGCTACTGAATCATTTATAGAAGGGTGATTTTTCTTGTGGCTAGTTACTTCATGTTAGGAGCTGCATTGTATCACTAGAGCAATGCAAAGTAGGTGTACTATTGCACAAAATATGATCCTAAGAATATAAGCTTACCTCTGTCCAGCTTTTCAGCTTTTCTGTAAAAATGGGTCCACCATCAGCTACATCTGAATTGCTTGAATTCTGCAACAGAGAATAAAAAGGTGCATAAGATCAACTGAAAAGCAAGCAGCACTTGCCACTGTAAAGAGCAGGCATTGGCAATGTAACACATGCATTAAGGATTTTCAGGTGGGATTTTTTTTATCTTTGAGGAAGTATGTAACATATTCAAAAGAGTGTTAAGTCCCACTGGCTAATCTGTTACTTGTACTATAAAAACTTTTAGCCTGTTTTATCATGGTTTACAAAACTAGTTGTTCTAGGTCTACTGTATCTCAAACATAATGACATACAGAGCTTTAAAACATTGTTCTAGATTTTATAGAAATATAAATATTTTATCCAATCTGTTCAAATATAATTCATGCAATGCAGAGTAAATAGTTTCTTGTGGGTCTTTTATGTTCTATAACATTATTACTATATAAGAAGTGGGATAATGTAAAGGCTTAAACATACATTTTAAGTACCTGGCTAAACCAGACACTACTACCAATTTTGAGAGGCACTAAGCACTTGAAACAAACTTGAATTTTATGTTCCTTAGGAAGGATAAAAATCCACTCCTTCTTAAGATTTGACTCTACAAAGCCACACTTAAAGTAATAAGAATCTAGCTAGCAAATGATAACGCTGAGTTTTACATAAAAAACATTACTGCAATTAATCTCCAAGCACTTTGCAAATGTTACATATGCCTCACACCATTCTTCTGAGGGTATTACAGGAACTGTTGTACCTATGCTATAGATACATAAACAGAGGTAGTTAGGGACAGAGGTGGAAACAGTGATTGTGTTCCCCAGGCTCATGGGATCCTGCATCTCTCCAGCATTTACAAAAGTGAACTAAAATGTTCTAAGGAGAAATACTGAGAATTAAAGCTCTTATTCTATGAGAAATCCCAGCTCAAGTCAGTGAATAATCTGATTGGGTTTTAAGTGATCATAAAAGCCAATTATCACTGCTTACATGGTCTCTGTGAAAAGAGGTAATATTACAGAATGAAAGATCCCACAGCAATCATGATAGCCTATGAAACAATGATTAAGGTAGAAATATTTCAGAGTTGCACCAGAATAGGCACGAGCAGTTCCTTCTCTGAGGAACCTACCAGAGGAAAAACCATCATGTCTTTGCTGAAACCAAAGTAACTCTCTTTCTCTGTTGCTTTCAGTTACTCCTGTTTATATCACTAATTAGGTCCTCTAATTATGACAAATATCAATGTAAAACTAATGATGATTCAAAACATTATAACTTAACTATTATAAGATTTTTTTTCTTTTCAGATTGTTTCATTGAGCTCATTGCTGATGGGAAGTTAGGAAATTGCTGAGAGAGATGCAAAATACTGCATTACCTTAATCACTTCAGTTAGAGGACCTTAGTTGTGTGAATAGTATAAGCCAAAGAAATGATCTAGCTTCTTAACTTTAATTAATGTAAAGACTAACTAGCAAATAAACCCTAATTTTACTCTATGTTGTTAAAGTACTATATTACATTACTTGCCATAAACCCAGCTGTTTCAGTTATATTCAAAAGCATAAGCAGAAGAGAAAGAAGAATACATTATTAGAAAGTTATACTTACAAAGTCAATTTTCAGTTTGTCTATGTCACTCTGTACCTGGAAAGGTATTATGGTACTTTCCAAGCATCCAAGACAAGACAGGTGAATGGAGAGAAAGATGAAGAGGTAAGTTTGATAAGTCATTTCTCTGGAGACACTGAAGTAGAAAAGTTGAAACGATTCTTGGATATGTTATGAGACCTAAAAGCAATAAGCTAACTTTCTGTCAGCTCTTCTACTGGAAGAAAGCAGATTAGTGAACTTCATCTGCCTTGCTAGTTGTATTTATACCTGGCTGTTGAATATTTTTAACACGTCACCAGAAGAATTACATCTTTTTTCACAAGTTTCTGACAAGATGGTGTTAGATAGGAGGTGATGCTTAATGGTTTATTATTAGGTATGGTTTGTGGGATTTCAGTACTCACAAAGTTTCCTTTAAGTAACCAGTCTCCAGTATGAAAGCAGACAGCACTCAGTTACATGTCCAGCCCTACCTGGGATCCCTCGAAAGCATTTTCACTTGACTGCAGCATGGCACCAGAAATTTCCCACATGCTTCATCAGCTTATTTAACGGTAGAGTTTAGGTGGCACAATACTGTTTAAATGATGTGTTTGTGGTTGGGAACAAGCAGGAAGGGAAATTTTGGCACTTAGTCTTACAAAGTGTACGCGCTCAGTGATAATATTCTTGCAAATTATCTGAAAGTAAAGAAATCACATACTGTGGTTATGGGGTCAGTTTGATGGCTAAGATGCTTGTGGTCTTCTCATAAAAGAGACTATTTTGATTAACAACGGACTCTTCAAAACTACTTCAAAAGTTTTAGATTATCGCTTAATGTTGCACATTGTGAAACAGAAATAGTCCTCGCTTTAAAACATGTTGCTATGCATGCCGTTTTCTGATCCTTCACCTCCAAGTGCAGTTTAGACTCAATAATCCTAACAAACATAAGTTACTTCTGATACCAATACAATTATGCCTTTTTTAACTCTGGGTGCCAACAGAAGTGCAGCTCACCACTGTAACTCGTGGTTACTCTGAGGAGGGGGGGCTTCAATCCACCTGCCGCACCCTCCAGCACTGGCTGGGCAACCCCCAGAACAAGCTCCCTCTACTCCTCTCCCCCTCACTCCTATTCTGAAGGAAGAGCAGGGAGCAGGGCTCAGCTGCATCAGCCAAGCCCTGCTCCCAGCCATGCTGACAGATGTTAATGAAGGTGCTCTGTTTTGAAGCGCTTTTATCTGAACCCTCATATAATTCATATTTCCATGCTATCGGGCATTTTTAAAGTGCTCTACAGCCATGTACTTCTATCAGTGTCTGGCTGCAAAGTGCTTTCAGTGGCCAGTCACACTGCAACCTGCCATCTGTCAGCACCCTCTTTAATTCTGCAAGTTGTTTCATGACATACAGCTAGAGCTGCAAACGGATACTGTTTGGATGCAAGTAATATTAACCATACCGTAGTCGTAGTTACATCTCAAGCCTCATGTTTGCCCATTCCTTTGCACAGAAACTCTTGAAGTATAAAAACATTGGGGCATGCATGGAGAAGGATCATGCTGAAGAAAACGTGGATTTAATCACACATCCTTGTGATAAAGAGGCACTTGCTAAACACTTCCCTTTTTAACCATACTCCTGATTGGACTCGGGTGGACAATGGAGGAAAAGGTTGTTTTTGTATGTTGTGTTTGTGCTTGCTTATCACTAATATTTGTAGTAGCCAAGCTTTGGCTGGACAGATGTTCATAGAAAGGGGATTGCAAGATTTGTTTTGTGCAGAAGCCAAATTGATTTCAGGTAGAAGCAGTTGAGTGCCCATCACAAAATTCAGAGTAGGCAGTATACAAAAAGATAGACTGGGAGGTCCCTGTTGGAAGGGGAAAGGGAAAAAGAAGGGAGTCAGGAGACAGAATCAAAAGGAAGATATTTGTGGGCTCGTTGTCCAGCGAAGGTCACTGCCACCTCTGTTCTAGTCAATCAGAGAGGTGAGGAGGAGGTTGGCATTTTGATACTGCATGCTGTCCAAAAGGATCACTGCTGGGACATGGGGAACTTTCTGACACAAGGGGTCCAAGAGAAAGGGAGTGCAGCCAAAAGGTTTCTGCTTTGTCTGCAGAATTCTCTATGTAGCTTGTGGGATCACCTGGGCAAAATAGGTGAAAAATGGGCAAAAATGAGCCACCATATCCATGGTAAATGGAGAATTTTGATATGCTGTGGAGGAGGTGACCAGATCTCACAAGCAAGGTAAGGCTTATAGATTAAGTTATAAAACTCTGGGAGTCACCTTTAACAGAAGGTATATTTTAGGATTATTGACTGTATCCGTTGCATATTAACTATTCCAAATCGGGCAACGATAAAACCAGTGTGTTTTTTTCAGTTTGGTGCCTGTAAGTCACCTGACCGTTCATGCAAACTAGAGGTTTCACACCCCTTTGTTCAAGCAGCACCTTACAGCAATTTTAACCAATGATGTCCTTGGAAAGTCATACAAAGCCACAATGACCACACTTCCTACTCTCCAAGGTGAAAGAGTTTTTTTCTTTCCTTTCCTTCCTTTCTTTAATTTTATAAGAATTCTTCATAGATGTGGGGACACTTTTGGCATTAGCAATATTTTCTGAGGCTGTACTTTATTGTTGACTATTAAAAAAAAGCACAGAGTTGTGAGTCTGCCTCTGTTCTCTGCTACTGACTTTCTGTGTGTGGTCTTATCCATGTCACTTTGCTTCTTTCCTTCAGGTCCTTTTCCTTAGGAATATAATAATAATTCCCACTATACCTACCTCGTAAAGCAGTTGAGAGATTTTATTGGTTAACATCTATATAGCATTTGAGAAATAAAGCACTATATAATTCCTAAATATTGTTATTTACAATGCAAAATTATATAATCTGAAAAGTGGATAGCTCTACCATCACATTTTTATGATCCAGATTATTATAGGCTTATCTAGATACATAATTAAAATTATTTTATTTCTGCAGTAAAAAATGAGGATCTCAGTTGGGTTTTTCCACAAACCCTACACAGACACAAGACAATTCTCCAGTCCAGGGGCATACAGTTTGTAGGCTGGGTCTGGCCCATGCTGCTGGTGACTTTCAGCAGTGTTCCAGCACCAGAGGATTTTGCTACCACTTTAAAAATTGTAAGCTACTGCTTTAGTCAGTATGGATCTGTAAACTCAATGGACCACTGTGAAGACTGGGATCATTAAAATTAAGTCCTGGGAACTAAAGCAGGATAAGTAGAAAAGGGTTGGCCAGAAAACTTCTTTTTCACACACACAAAAAACATTTTTTTTTTCATTCTAAGAGACAAAGATAGAGTTGGGTGGTTCAGGAAACATTTTCTCATCAGAAAATACTAAATCATAGGCTGGTTTTTGTGGAAAAGGCTTAGATCTAAATATTTCTGAAAAAAAATTCCAAAATTATCCAAATGTTTTTATTTTTGACATTTTTAAAGGAAAAAAATGTTTCTGGTCCCAAACCAATTTCGTTTTGTAAATTTATGCTAATAACAGCTGAAAATAAAAATAGTCAAAATAAAAAGAAACTTTTTAATATTATTGACATGGAAAATTTTTATTGACCTATTTTGTCTTGATTTTGTTTTTTTTTCAGGTTGTCAAGATTTTTAAATTTTGCATCAATAGTTGGGACAAGAAAATATATTTACATCTCAGAAACATTCATGGGATGGGAAAATCATTTTCTTCCCAGTTCAAAATCAGTAAATAAATATTCTTTGGTCTAGCAAGAGAACCTGACTCTCATGATCTGTGCTCAGGTCACTCAGCTTTGATGGGAGAGAACTTTGGTCAAGACCTGGCTTGGCCTGATACAAACAAGAGTTGTAGCTCTTCCAATTACAATAACATTTTCATCAAAGCCAATATATTCCCACAGTATATTCTGATTTAAACAAAAAGAGATATTTGACCAAAATAAAAAGTTTCATCACAAAAATTCTGACCAGCTCAGAAAACTTCTATCTAGTGCAAATTCCCAGAAAGGAAATTGAAATGGTTTTACAATAGTGCTGAACTGAGGTTAAAGACCTAGCCCAGAATTTTTACTGCCATCTGCAGGAGTTAGTTTCTCCATCTTTAAAAGCAGAGATAATATTTACCATCTTCACAGGAGTATTGGGAGGGCTAATGATAAAGTTGGGAAAGAAGGGGCATTGTCATTATTATCACTGCTCTTTTGCAGACAAAACATTCAATGGACATCCCAGGACTTTCTTTTCCTCTCGTGTTATCATTCATATATTCACAAAATAGCTTTCAGGGCTACAGATCTAAAACGATGAAACTTTACACTCACTTGGTAACCTTTTCTTTAATGACCTGGCTCAAAAATGGGAAATGTACTAATGTCATCTGCTGATGACACAAAGTTAGGAAGTATCACTGGTATAGAGGATCTCAGCATCATACAGGTGGAACTGGATTAGCTTGAGGATTGGAATAATAGAAATGGGATGCAATTTAGTAGTACAAACTGAAAGGTGGTGCACTTAGGGACAAATAACAGAAACTGCTCACATAAACTAGGAGCTTACTAGTTGGAAACTATCAGTGAGGGCCATATTAGTCTACTACAACATTCAATGTGAAGCAACTGTGAAAAGGAAATGTGATCCTAGGGTGACATCAGGTGAGAGATGACCAGGAGAGGAAGGAAATTAATAATGTATGAGCTACTGCTGAAACTTCATCTGAAATACCAGGTTTTCTTGGGGTTTTATTTTTTGCTACCCACTCTTTACTCCTTTATTTTGTAAAACTGGGCATATCCTACATGCTATATGACTTACAAGGCAGATCTGGGCTCTCATCATCCCTGACGGCTAACACTCTTTTTAAGTGAGGCTGATGTCAATAGGAAAGCATCTGTAGGCATAATAGCTAACCAAAATATGGTCATCATTTCATGAAAGACCTGGTGAAATGAAACCACGGAGTCTCAGTGGGTTTTCCCCAAACATGGCCTCTCAAGTTCACCAGCTTTTCCCCATTCTTCTGTCTCTCAAGAAACCTTCCTGCAAACTCTTTGTCCCCAGCACCCTAAGAACATGCTGCAGCATTGCCACATCTCAGAATTCAATCATGAATCTCATAATATCTAGTGGAGCTATAGGTGCATGTGAGAATCTCAGGTGTTATTTTTGTAAAGATAAGTTTCTACACTTCATAGCTGTGGAAAGAAAAATTTAAAACATGAACTCTAAAGGCTCCAAATTTGGCAAGCAGATTTAAAAAACTAATAAATTTATGTGTTTTAATATCTCATGATTTTGTGAGGCCATGATTCAGAAGTCAAGTCAAGCACTTGGGATTGACATCACTCTGTAAGCTACAACGATTGATAGCCAGTTCTGTGTAGGCATAAGCAGTGTAGCTTTTAAAGGTTTTTAATACAGTTTATTGCCATCAGGAAGTATAATCTCTTTCCAATGTCTTTATGTGTACTTATTTCTGGTAATCTGTGTTTGAAAGTAGCTTAGAATAGTTCCTTTTTCATCCATGTCAGGGCTGTCCACCTTCTGAG